GTCCACATCATTTCAACTTTTGTTTTCTTTCTTTACCCAGTGTTCCAAAAGAGGTATAAAGCTTGATGATTTATTTATTTAATGTAAAACATTGCAAGATTGCTTGGTGTCAGAGAAACAGAAAAGACAATTCTGCTTTTTGCATGGAGCATACAGTATATGTGTGGGTATGTATATATGTATGTATGTATGTATGTATGTATGTATGTACCAGAGGACAGGTAATCCTCGTTTAGCAACCACAATTGGGACCAGTAACTCCACTGATAAGTGCCATGGTTCCTAAGTGGAAATTACTGTGATGGGTTTATGACCTCACTTCCCTTTTAGTCATTAAGTGAAATGTCACATGACCGTGACTTATGCTTTTACTTCTGCCTTCTCTATTAATTCTGCTTGTCACAAGCCAGTTGTGAAGCGCACAAATGGCAATCACATAACTATGAGACACTATGACAATTGCAAATGTGCACCGGTTGCAAAGCACCCAAATGGCAATCAAGTGACTATGGGATGTTGCAATGGTTGTAAATGCAAGGATTGGTTGCAAAGTTTTGGTTTTTTTTACACTATCATAACTTTGAACTGTCACTAACAAAGCAGTTGGTAAGTGAGGACTACCTGTATACACTTTGGCAGCTTTCAGACCATTGTCTAATACAGCACTCATATGGCACTTTATGTGTACTCTTGTATCGGCATCCATGATTCCCCAACCTCATGGAATGATATACCTAAAGAAATAAAGGATTTTCCTACAATTATTGACTTAAATGATAAATATACACCAAATCTGGAACTAGGAGACAAAGAATATACAATTTATTGGATGTACAGATACAGCCAGTAGTATTTACAACTAGTCGTCAAAGTTCCGGCCGTCACAGCATCCCAGCAGTCACGTGGTCATGATTCTGGCACTTGACAAATGGCTCTCACGACAGTTGCAGCATTTCATTGTCACATGATCGTCATTTGCCATCTTCCCTACTGGCTTCCCACAAGCAAAGTCAATGAGGAAGCCAGCAGAGAAGGTCACAAGTCACTATGGTAAGTCTCCACAGCCTTCCTGCACTTGCACCTCACCACAATCTCCATCCCCTGGCTTTTCTGCACTCACGCCCTGCCCTGCCATCCATCCCCCAACCTTCCTGCACTCGCTTACGGCCTGTGCTGGGCTTCCCAAATGCTCCCTTGGCCTTTCCCAACTCATGCACAGCTTGCGCCGGCCCTCCTAGGGCTTCCCCCGGCCTCCCTCACTTTCCTGTGGCACCCCTGCATTCCTTACTTGGAACTCCCACTAGCTCCCACTTAACAACCTGCACGTCTTGGGGTTATGATGGCAACTGGGACTGCCAGGATTACCATCACTAAGCGATGCGGTCACATGACATTGTACTTTACAACCACATCGCTTAGCATCATCAATCCAGGTCCCAATTGCCATTGTAACCCAAGGGCTACCTGTATATGCTATAATCCAGGGTAGAGAATTCAAGATATATAGACATTCTGTACCAAAATATTCAATATATATGTTATATCCTCTTAAAATATTTGGGCCCTACCTATTTAATTTGGACTTCCCCAAATTTGCATTTTTTAAAATATTCCCCTTATTCTCCACCATTCAAACACTTATTTGACCTAAGATTAATGACATCTTGACTTTATTACCAGTGATGTTCATACTTTGGGTGATAAATATAAAGAGAACATCAGTACATGTGGTCTATTATTCTTTAATATCTTATTCTGGACAAATGGTTTTTCCATCTCAGTTAAAAAAGATAAGTGGTTTACAAAGTTACCAAGTTATCCCAGATTTTGGCCTGATATCTTGAAAACTTGTCTGTAAATGTTCTGTTTCTCTCAGATTATATACAGAGAAATAGTATAATATTTTAAAAGATTTAATAAATGTTATAGAGACTTTAGTAGTTTCCTTTCTTTAATAACTTTTCTACACCAATAGTAAGGCAACAGCTTATTATTTACAGAGAATAGTTGGAGGAAAAATCTTCACAGTAGAAAATGGAAGAAATTACTTCCTTGGTATTTGAACTTTGGGGAGGGGAAGGGGGTTTCAAACAATATGAGCTTTGAGAAAACAGAAGAGTTTCTATTTAGTGTAAATGTCATGGCAAAAACATTCTTCAGAAATTAGGTCTTCTATTGAGATCACTTTTTCTCTGATATCCTTTGGTAGATCATTACAGAAAGTTGGCTCTCTAATTGCACCAAGGGAATAAACAACAACAACAAATCTCTGTGCAACAAGAGGAAAAACTTGTTTTGTTCCACAATGCTATAAATAATGAAGAACTCTGAGAAGGTAATCAGCTGCCCTATACTTATCCGTTTGACTGACTTTTCCCTTAAATTCAGTAATTCCCTATGAAATTTACCAGTCTGGCACCTCAGAACAAAACATACTTTATGTGAGCCAAATGAACTTTAGAGCTGTACCTACAGAACAATTGTGGTCCATCAGCTCAGAAGGTGTTCTATCCTCCCTTGGGCGTAGCTCTGAAACATAGCTGAGCAGTTTGAGAATTTTCGATCGATAATGTGGGAAAAGAAATATCTGGCAGAAAGATTTTCATGTATGATTAGAACCACTGGGATATTGGTCTTATTGTTGCTCCCAACACATGTTTGCAAGATTCCTTTGGCGAAATGCATTAACAGAGAGCCCAGTCCTATTCTTCATACATACCATGAACCAGGGGACCTCATTCTTGGAGGCATAATATCTCAGAGCTTTGTTGCTTCTGAGGAGATCACATTCAGAAGACATCCCTTTCAAGATATGTTCATTGAATTCATGTAAGGAATGTGTGTGTGTGTGTGTGTGTGAGGGAATCTCTGCCTACAGAGAAATCATTCTCTTTCATTTCACCAACCTGTTACTGCTAACCATTACGCTAAAGAAGGAACAGCAGCAATGTTAATATAGGAATAGACTTCTTAACTGTGTCCATATGAGGTTGGGAAAAAGCTTGCTTGTCACAGAAAGTATAATCATCTGTCATGAACTAACTGCTCTTGAATGGAATTCTGTTCCAAAATACTTCTCTTTCATTTTTAAAGAAATGAAAAGCAACAGTGTGCTTCCAAGTTGTTTCAGTTGTATACGAAGCAATCCGTATATGTTAGGGCTTGTGGAAGTCAAAACACTTTGACTGTTTTGCATGTTACATATAGATACAGTATGTGTGCAAACATGGAGCATCATAGGTCTAATTTCTAATCTTACAATTGCTTTGCAACTTACTTTCAACAGAGCTGAACAATCTTGCAAATGAAGAAGTATTTTATTTCAGAAAAAAATAAAAGATTCTCCAAAGGAAGGACAACTCCCATTGACCCCACCCCCGGCCGCAACTCCATCTTTCTCTCTATATAAAGTAATTATGAACATGACCTAGATTTAAACATGGCTAAAATTACTTCTACCATGGAGCTACAGCAAAGAAATATTCCAATTGGTAAAGGTAGAATTAGGAAGGGAATTATTTTTAAGACTAAACTATTACCACCCACATTAAAGGTACCAGATATGTTATTTCCAAGAGGAAAGACTTAGATGGGAGTTACACATTTAAATTCAGTCCAAGGTTATTAGGAAAACATATGCTATTTTCAAGTAGATCTCCCAATAAAAAATTGCACTGAAGGTATTCATTATTTTTAATTTTGTGGCAGATTACTGACTCAAAGCTACCAACACATCTTGGCTCTGGTATTTGCTGTAAAGGAGATAAATGCAAATCCTAATGTCTTAACAAATATCACCCTGGGCTTCAACATCTATAACAACTATTTTAATCCAAAACTTGTATATGCAGCTACAATGGAAATTCTCTCCACCCCAGACAGATTCATCCCAAACTATAAATGTGATTTCCAGAACAATCTGGTAGCGGTCATTGGAGGACCTAACTCAAATGATTTTCTTCACATAGCAACTATTCTGAGTCAATACAAGATTGCACAGGTAGTTGAAGATATTTTCCACACTTCCCTTCCTTGGTTAGATAGGGGACTCTGAGATCTGTAGGGTGGATATTGGTAGGCTTCTATCTATTTATGTAAGAATAGTGGGGAAACATATCTTTCCTATTTTTTCTCACACTAATATTTCCCTGGTGAGAATTGCTGTTCAAAACACTTCTTTTACAATCATCTCAGAACCATATTGCTCCACCTCTGTGTTGGGGAATGCAGTCTGAAAGTTCATAATATAAAAAGTGTTTTACTGCAAAAGAAAGAAGTCTAAACCATAATTTCTTGTGGAACTAACTCTTCTGTTCTCTTGCTTTCCTTCAATTACTCTTGAATTCACTTAGCTTGCCTATACTTCTGCCCCAGAGACAAATAGTCTAGATCAGCCAGTTTCTTTCTACTGGATGTCTCCAAATGCTGATTATCAGTATCATGGGATTCTCCAGTTATTACTACATTTCAAATGGACATGTATTGGAGTATTTTATATGGGTATTGGCAGGCAAACAGAATTATTGCTCCAGAAAGTATTGCCCTTCTATTCACAGCATGGCATCTGTTTTGACTACATTGAAAAGTTACCCACAGGGAGGGTAAGAGAACTTGATGTGGTTTGGGAAGCTACCCTTGCAAAAATAAGCCTGGCCTTGAACAGCACAGCTAATACAGTGATCTTTCATGGAGACTTTCAGAGTATAACATTTTTGTCAGTGTTACTCAAACTCTCAGACTTTGATAATATAGCAAGAAAAAAAAACAAGGTTTGGATGATGACAGCTGATGTGGACTTCACATCTGCTTTGTTTCAAAGAAGCTGGAGCATTAATTTCCTCCAGGGTGCTATATCTTTGGCAATCCAATCTAAGGAAGTGTCAGGATTTCAGAAGTTTGTCCAAATGAGGAACCCTATTTTGCATAAAGGAGATAACTTCTTGAAAGGTATTTGGCAGCAGTTATTTAACTGTCTGCTTCCACACTTCACCATTGACCCAATGGAGAAGAACATCTGCACTGGGGAGGAGAAGCTGGAGACTCTCCCTGTAACTCTTTTTGAAACAAGCATGACTGCCCACAGTTATTGTGTCTACAATGCTGTCTATGCTGTCGCCCATGCTTTGCATGCCCTATACTCATCCTTACACAAGCAAGGATCAGTGCTGACATGGAAACTTCTTGCACAAAAATCATGGAAGGTAATCTCTTGAGCGCAGTACTGCAGGACCTCTCACCATAATTGTTGATGTAACAGCATAGGTTGTAAATAATTCTTGTTTAACTGATCCCTTCCAGATATTTGGGCCCAGAGCTACCCCCCCCCCCCCCCCACATGGGAAGAACTAATTTCTATGCTGACTCAATTTTCCTGGGGTTTCTGTCTTATTCATATCTGCATAGGAAAAGGTTAGAATGGGCTGTCCCATGCTATATCTTCTGTGTACTCTGAATTAGCATTTTGGGTTTCATTTCTGGAAATATTCCAGCTTCAGATATACAATGCCAGTTGTGTAAACATTTACTCTGAACTGGTATTATTTTCCCTTATTTCATCACGGTAACCCCTTATCCATCTTGAACTATCTCCTGTATACAGTCCTTGGTGCTCTCTGAGCTTGGTTGTTTGCTTGCAGACGTTTTATTACCCAACTAGGTGCCATCATTGTAAATATGATTTACAAGCTGATGCATTCAGAAAAATCAGTGTAAATATGATTTAGAAGCTGATGGCATCCAAACAAATTAGCCATCGATAGACACATAGAAATAAACTACATTTACACACCATTGAAAAGAGACAATAAAAAAGCTAAGAAGAAAACAAACGGAGCAGAACATATCCTTTCAGGCAGGCTACACCTAGATAAGCAGGGATTAACAGCAGACAAGCAATCAAGCAGAAAACAATACCCTAATCAAGGAACTACTAAGGAGAAAACCACACCCCCACCAACACAGGCAGGGCAAGCTACTGTATATAAACAGGGAACAAACCTGACACTCACTGGCACTGATGATGTTACCTAGTTGGGTAATGAGACATCTGCAAGGAAACAACCAAGCTCAGAGAGCACCAAGGACTCCACAATTCAATGTTGAACTACATATATTCTCTTCTATTATGTCCCCTATCTTTGGAAAAATTATTAAAGCTGCTTGCATTTATTTATTTATATTTTTTATTATTATTAACATTTTATTTGTTCATTTTTAGCCAGAAAGACTTGGGAAAGTGGGAATGAATCCTGTCTCACTTTTACCCAGATTTTCTGATCTGTGAGATTTAATCCAGCAGCTGTACAAATTCCTTAGGCACACATAAACTGGACTGAAGGCAAAAAATCTCTGCATTTTCCTATTGCTCTTGCGTCTTCAAATTCAGTGTAACTGACTAAAATAAATATCTATATGTTTAGTTTTCCCAGTTATGTGAAGGACTGCATTGTTCTTATGTTCCGTTGAGTCATAACCAACTGGAGATTCTATGAGTAGATTATCTGGACCCTTTTCAGTCAGGTTTCAGGCCTGGATTTTGGACTGAAACAGCATTGGTCGCACTTTTGGATGATCTCTGGCAGGAGCGGGATGGAGGTAGTGCATCCATCCTTGCTCTTCTTGACCTCTCAGCGGCTTTCGATACCTTCGACCATGGTATCCTTTTGGGTCGGCGTGGGGAGTTGGGAGTGGGTGACACAGTCTTGTGCTGGTTCACCTCCTTTCTCCAGGGCCGGCCCCAACTGGTATTGATAGGGATCGAGAGATCCAGCCCGTGGCTCCTCCTTTGTGGGGTGCTGCAGGGTTCAGTACTTTCCCCGCTCCTTTTTAACATCTACATGAAACCACTGGGTGAGATCATCCACCACAATGGGATGAGGTATCATCAATATGCACATGATACCCAGTTATACATCCTCATCCCAGGTGATCTGAGTGATGCTGTGACTACCCTTTCTCGGTGCCTGGAGGCTGTGGGGGTCTGGATGGGGAGCAACAGGCTTCAGCTGAACCCTGGTAAGGCAGAGTGGCTGTGGGTTGGGGGCTCCTCTGTATCGATAAATTTACCATCTTTGGT